TACTACTACTACTACTACTATTACTATTACTATTACTATTATTATTAACAGGACGTACTGTAAGTAGCAGCTTTCTTCTGCTGCAATGCTCACATTCAGAAATTCAGTCTGCAATCCTAAACACATTTGTTGAATCCTATTGGACCTATGAGACTATGTTTGGAGCAAACATGTTTAGGAGCGCTTTTTATTGGGGGGGGCAATAAATCATCTGAGAGTATTACTATTACTATTACTATTATTATTAACAGGACGTACTGTAAGTAGCAGCTTTCTTCTGCTGCAATGCTCACATTCAGAAATTCAGTCTGCAATCCTAAACACATTTGTTGAATCCTATTGGACCTATGAGACTATGTTTGGAGCAAACATGTTTAGGAGCGCTTTTTATTGGGGGGGGCAATAAATCATCTGAGAGAATCCATATAATGTCAAGGATGCCCATACTAGAATGCACCATTGGAGGACAAGCATCATAATTAGCTGGCATCGGACTGATTCTAACTTATGGCAATGCTGCTAGAATTGTCTAGGTTCACAATACTCAGAAGCAGTTTGCAAGTCCCTCTTTCTGTTGGCACTCTGGGGCCATGTAGTTTGCCCAAGGCCATGTATGTGGCAGGGCGTATGACCCCATCAGCCACACGTGCACTAAGTGATCTTGCACGACAAGATCATCCTGCATACTGGCATTGCATTGCAATCTGCTGGGCCAAACCAGCTGAGGAAGAGAAATATCTTTCCACCTAGTGAAGCTGACTGCAGGCGGCCCTTTTTAAAATGGACAACAATCCAAGGTTTTGGTGCTCAGGATATGACTAAATCCTGTCAAGGTCCAGTGCCAACAACTGCATTTTCATAAGCTGCAATTCTGTGTTGATCCAAAAGTCTTGAGGTGTTGACCCCGCAAGGCCTAACTCCACTACACTGCTCCATTTTAGAGAATGCCCCAGTTGTCTAAAAAGCGCCTTGCTTTTTTTAAAAGCACTTCTCCACCATGATAAATGCTATTTACGTTTATAGGAGTTATGACTTTGCACTGAATTAAATTAACTTTTAAAAAGCAAGTGAACCATTTGCTCTTCCACCTGCTGATTACCGATTACTCCTACCACTGCTCTAAACTTAGACATCTCTCCAGCAGATACTACAGGTGGTTGGCACCTGACAAGGGAACTGTAAGCAGTTGTTCAGAAAGAGAATGGATTGAGCCCTGCAGGAAGTGTGAGCTGCCTTCCTACACTGTGACTGATTTGGACAGAGAGGCAATGCATTCCAATCAGCCTCTCTCTGGGAGGTCCATCATTTTTACAAGGGGCAGCTCGGTAGGAGGAAATATCTCGGCACTCCCGTTGTGCTGCTGGTGCCATAGTCATGAGGAATAAAACCAGTGAGCTATGCAGCCAGTAAAATCAAAACCACTGAAGAAGAAGGACTCATTTCGGGACATGAGGAATCGGTGTACCTCGGACAAGCTAGAAAACCCTTGTTGCTTGTCTGTTTCTTTGGTTGATTTTCTCGCAAAACAATTCATCAAAACCTAATTGCCAATGGCCCAAACAACTGTCATCTGCACTTTGTGGAACAGGAGGTGCCTAGTGGCACGAATCTGTCTGACATGGGCTTCTGCAGCTGAGTGTTTCACTATTGTTCCCATCATCATTGGATATGGTACTTCCCACAGAACTCAAGGGCAGCAAGTTAGGGAAGGCTGATCTAACAGATCAGCTTGCCAAGTTCCAGCAGAGGAGCAGTAGATGCAAGATTACCTATTGACTCATTTCATGGTCAGTCTTAGCTTCAGAATTGTTCTTATGTGCTGTCAAGTTGTCTCCAATTTATGGCGACCCTATGAACGAGTAATATCCAAAATGTGTCTCCGACTGGCCTGATCAACTCTTGTAAACTCAGATCTGTGGCTTCCTTTATGGGGCCATTCCACCTTGTATTTGGTCTTCCTCCTTTCCTGCTGCCTTCCACCATGACCAGCATTGTTGTCTTTTCCAGAGAATCCTGCCTTCTCATGATGTGCTCAAAGTAGGACAGCCTCAGTTTCAACATTTTTGCCTCCAGAGATAAGATTAATTCAGGCTTGATTTGCCAGAGATAAGATTAGTTCAGGCTTGATTTGATCAAGGACCCACTCGTTCGTCTTTCTGGCAGCCCAGGTATCCTCAAAGTTCTCCTCCAGCACCACATTTCAAGCAAATCATTTTTTTTCTTGTCAGCTTTCTTTATTTTCCAGCTTTCATGATCTTGGTCTTGGTCTCCAGTGACACATCAATACACTGAGTGAGATTTTAAAATCTTTTTAAAAATAGGACAGGACATTTTGGATAT